TTGTTATTACTTAGTGTATTTTTAAGTGTTTTCTTTATGTTCATTTTAGTTTATTTTAAATTTTTCTCCGTCTATTTAGTCGTTTTTGCTTAATTTTTTTATTTTTATTTTTTTGTGTCGTTTTGGTATTTTGTGCATTTTTTTTCTTTTTTATACCTTAAATAAGTGTTTTTAACATTTTTCAAACCATCAATCATATCATGAGTTTTTTAAACAATAAATTAAGATATAAAACTATCTAATAGTTAAATGGACCGACTATCATTTCTTTAAATATATGTATTGCACTGTATGGAAAAGGGGTATAAATTCATAAAATATGACTAATATTAAACCACTTCATAATTTAAGGGGGACTTATGGAAAGGGGGTCTATATTCTACATGAACTGTGATATCTATATCAACAAGTTCAGCACTCATATAAAGAGAGAGGTACTACTTGATAATCGAGTTGGGTGGATTTTTGTTATTAAATCACAAGACTTTGAGTTTGAAGGAATTGAGGGACGTGAAAAATCCATAGAAAATAGAAAATGATAAATATGAATTTTTTGAATTTGAAGATATTATTAAGAAGGTAGCTAGGTGTAATATATAAGTCATAGCAAATTAGGCACAAAGTAATGTTGCATTACTGTCGCTAATAACTAACTGCTAACACTTACACTTTACTAATTGATGTCCACATATATACCTCGAGAAAGTGAGGTGTATTTACTTTTAGTGACAGTTAATCCTTCAGCTCATCACATAAACTGGAGTTTCACCGTTCACGGATTCTTCCAAAAAGGGCGGCTTTCACTGGTGGAGTACAAAATCAACTAGTACGAATATCGTGCGATGCACGACTAAGAGATATTCATCAATATCTATAAATTATAAATATGAAATCAATATGTAATACAATTTACACATATTAATTTATTTAAAATATTATATAAAATTTAAATTATGAAAAATTATATAAAACATGTCTATTTAAAATTAATAATTTAGTACACAACCCGTACAGTGCACATAACTGATAATAAATTACATTAGATGGCACGTAAAAGCGTCCGACCGGCATGAGAATCAGCTTGCCCGAGTGCTTCCTCGCCGGTTGAATGCCTTTCAACTGACAAAAACTCTCACACCGGAGGGGTTCTCCGGTGAAGAGCCTCTGATACTTAAATGAGTATGTGTAGTACTCTGGAAAAATAAAGAATAATATGAATGTAATGACTGAAAATGTGTATTTTACTCCTATATATAGGGGTGAGGTACCTGTTTCTAGAAGACTGCTCGGATGTGATGAGCTCGCTGCCCGAGTTGCCCGATAGTACGATACTTCTATCAGAATATGTCAGAGACGGTTATGAGGCGTGGACCAATGAGGTGGTGCCACGTGGTTTTCCCATGTGGGACTTAAATCCCCCGAAATTATGTCTTATCTTCGAGGGCTCGACCAACTCTAGGTAGATTTGAGGTGAAACGCTGACTGCTTCGAGTTTGAGTTTTGATGGATCAGGCGGCCATTTAGGCTACAAGTCGGGTTTCGACCAGGTTATCCAAAGGTCTTGGCTCGACATGTGCTCCATGTACCGAAATCCTCTTTAACCTATCTCCCAGATCAGAGGCTCTTAATCCTGTGATGTTCGACCATGACCACTCCGTTCGGATTCCGCCCGATCAAGCGACTGGCTCAACCCACTCTACCGGTTTATTCTATTGGGTATAGTATCTCATATCATTTTATTCATTTCAAAATAAGTGTCATTTTAAATTTTTTATTTAGAAATTCAATTTGAATACAATGTGGTTCCACAAAATAATTATTTTAGCAAAATTTTATATATTCAAAAATCTATGTGAATAATAAGTATAATATTAAATTTTATATTGATTCATTAATTAAAATAAATTTGTTTTGTATAAACTATTCAAATCAAAAAATTTAAGTAGTTGAGTAATTTATTAAACTATAAATAACAGACTATTCTATTTACGCCCAACTAAATTTTATATTAACTTACGCAACACGAAGTTCTATTTACGCTACATAGTATAAAAACTAAAACGAGACGAATTATGTTATAAACATTTATAAAACACTAAAAAGTATACAATTTCAATATGAATGGTCATTAAGGCGAGAACACATTATTTATGGAGAAACCCGAGTGTCGGGCAGGGCTAAACATTGTAATTATTGATATTTTAAAAATGAAGCAAACCATTTATTTTTTAAAAAGAATACAAATAAATATTGTGATAGGATATCAATCAATTTAATGCATAATATATGTCATATTTATCTGTATAAAATTTGTATTATCAAAATTAATAATTTTATAAATTTTCATTAAAATTGGAATATATTTATATTTTAATTTAAAATAAATTAAATAGTAATCCTAGATTTCTAACTTTTTTTTTTTAATTGACGTGTTTAAAATAATGAGTTAAAATCAATTAACAAGAATAATTTTTTGTCCATTCTCAATTTATTGTACAAATATTTATTAGAAATATATTTATTAATTGTATAATAGACTAAATATAATGTTCTAATTAATAATTAAAGTTAGGTGGACTACATTGGCATATAAATACATATGTGAAATGTGGATACAAGGAGTTGGATTTTAGTTGGAGTATCTCACATCATCCGCGTGAAAAATCCTTAATAAAGAACATAAAAAAATGGGGGGAAAAGTTCAAATTTAGTAGGGATAGTAAATCAAGAATCAGAACCGAAGATCTTAACATATAAACGAATATCAATAAACTCATAATGTATCACATACAAATGAGTGTCAATAACCTCACAATGTGAAATAGTAGTACCTAGACTCTTAACCAAGGCTGCAAAGAAATCAGTCAATTCGAGCTGAAGCACTTCAAACTCGCGCTCAAGCTTGAGTCTATAGATTACCCAGTCGCGTTCTTGACGAGCTGCTCTAGTGTAAGTATTATCTAAATACCATATTCTATTACTACATAATTCATTTCAAGTCGAACTCGAGCAAACTTCGAGCCTAACAAATTCTAGCAAATCTAAAGCATTAATGTTTTTTTTTTTTTTTAATCTTGCCAAACATAGCATTAAAAGTTCGGTTGCTCAAGCTCGAGCAACAATAAAAAAAAATAAGCCTAACTCGATGAGGCCAATCCTTGACTCGATCGGGTCGTTTGCAGCCCTAAACTTAAACCCAAGCGTTTTTTAACACTTAACAGTGAATGACAATAATATCCAAATATACTTGCAAACTAAAAAGGAAATTTCAATGACCAGTTCCCGATTAGTATGCGAAAATATGTGCTTATGTTTGTGATTTGGCTTCGAAGAAAGTATGCAATACCACACCAACATTCATTACATGCGTTATTTGGCATTGGAAAAAATTGCAAGGATAAAAAGACGCTTTCCAGGACCTGCCTGACTGAAAATGGATGCAACCAGCCGAGTCGAAAGCTCTTGATGGTCAAAAAGTGTAACCAGCATCGAGCCCAACTTTTGCACAAATGCGAGACCTCGTGAGTCACGACTCACGAGCATTTCCATTGAGTCCTGACGAGCTCCGAGGTTTCGGAGCATGATAAGTGGCGTCCTAACTCTTGTTAGCAAGTATGTTCACCCGATCCACTCAAACCAGAGTCTAGTTAAGTAGTTAACTTTGAGTTATTTAAATTTAATATTCTTGAAGGTTATTTATGCATATTTTTCCTGAGGCAGTCCAATAATTTTAAGCATCTTTACAACATTAACNAAATAAATACAATGGAACTATGTGAAAGATTATGATATGATATCCCCAAATGTTGCTTTTCCTTTGAATATATTCCTATGGAACAAATTGCTAAAGCCTACTCACTCTGGATAGAGATCAATCTACAGTTTGGCTCCTCTTGGCCACAATGTATAGAAGGAATAGTACAGTACAAACATAAGACAATTTTGAAAAAATTATGTCTCGGAGTACAATAACAATAGCCAGGATAATTCACAACACGACTCAAACACCAAATCAAGATATTATTATACACAAGATTCAACGCAAAAACTGTATCACTTGACTATCATCCAATCTAAAGGTTCAGCTCAGTTTTTCAATTTATCATGTACTTAAGCTTCGATTTCGCGGTTTCAGTTTCGATTTCAATTTCAGTTGGCCAAAATCAAAATGCCATCCAAACAAAGAGCTATGCAAGCACCTTGTTCATCAAAAATAAAATAAAATGATTGGGTAGAATTAATTTGCCTTGTAGAGCTTGTTGTATTCCTCGAGTTCCTCGTAGTACACGTCCCAAACGCACCGCACGCATCCGCTGCCGCAGCAATCCCCCGGCAGCGGCTTCTCCGGCGGCGGCGGAACGGGTGTTGCCGCCGGCTTTTCCGATTCCTTCTTCTCTTCAACTCTCCTCAAGCCGACGTTCGCCGCCGCCGCCGCCGCCGTCGCCGTCATTTGCGCTTCCGTGTTATTTGGTTCCGGATCGGCCATCTTATTGGGGGGAATTAAGGCTCTTATTTGATTGTTGATTGGAAATTGGGGGATTTTGAATCTGAGTTGAAATAGAACTTTTGCGGAGCTGCGTCGGAGGGCGAGATCAATTACGGGCATGGGAAATTTAACTGATCTAGGGACATTCCGCCGCCGGCGGTGGGGATTGCGGAGGTTGGTGGGCGGCGGTGGTGGTTGCAACGGAGATGGAGAAGGTGATGATATCGGTATTGGGAGGGTCGTCTCCATTTATAGAATTACACGCGGTGGTAATGTTCGATTCGAGTTTGACCAATGTAGGGCTTGTGTGGTGCCAGGACTAGTGTGACCAATTATCAGCTGCCACGCGTATGTCCAGCGTAGAGCCTTATTGGACCACGGTAAACTTATTTTGAAACCAAATGATATTTACTAAAAACTTGTTATAGTCCTTGTTTTAGATTTATGTAATAGATTGTTTTTAGTAACTAACTCATCCATAAACTCGCTTATTCGTGATTTATCAAACAATGTTCTCGAAATGAAGTTTTATATCTCAACGTGCTTGCACTTTGTGTGATGCAAAACGTTACTTATTATAATCTTCAAGTACAGAAACATTTTTCACATATCAGGATACAAAGAAATGTTGAAAACCAGTCCAAACACATCATATCAATACACTGATCAAATGCAAACAAAGTTTCTAGTAAGCTTAGTTAACAAACTTTTTGGTAGCCAAAGGGCTCCTCATGCCCTAATTTGAAAACAGAGCTCTCAAAAAAGGTGCAGAGAGGGGAAAACACTTGCTACTAGCCAACATTACCGAATAGATTTATTTTATCATTCGGCGTTCGACCTATTGTCCTAATGAGACCGATTTCGCGTAAATATTCTCCTCAAACCCAACAAAAGAAGCAACAGTCCAACATAATCGAAGTTGTAAGCCAATCTTATAAACTCCAGCTTAAAAGCATTCCATGGAGGATACCTTGGCTCGAGCTCCGGAAAGAAGCTTCTATGCAGAACTGCTTTCTCATGGCTGAAAGTATCGAACGAGTACTTCCCATGGTACCTTCCAAAACCACTTTGACCGACACCTCCAAACGGCAGTGAGTCACATATAAACTGGCATCCAAATATACGAAAAAATCATATAGAGGAAATGGAGAAAAAAGTAGACTAATCACGGAAAAATCACGCTATTTCTCAAATTTACTGACACTGCTTAATAAAAGCGGACTCCCTTCAATTGAAATAAGCATTGAGATTTTAGGAGTTAATATTCATTTTAAGAGATTGATGGGTTTTTCCTAACTAATGTAAACCTGATGTATTTTGGCAACCAACCCCCAAGAAAAAATAGAAGAATTTGGGCATACCTGAATAATGGTATCATTGAATGTTACATTCCCAGATGATGTTTCTTGCAAAATTCGATCCTTGAGTTTTTTGTTCTTGGTGAATGCATAAATGGCTAATGGCTTTGGTCTCTCGTTGATGAAATCGATACTGTCTTCGATCTTATCGAGCTGCAACCCAGCAAGAATCATTTATCCGAAACCGAATTTCGAAAAAGGTTAATGAATTTCATTGTTGCAAATCACACCAATAAAAATTTCAAATACAAGCCCCTCCAGGTGTTCACACACCCTCTTCCAGAAGTGATAATATACATTTGAAAAGAACAATCAGTTTCCTTTTCTCTCTTTCTTCATTTTTTTAATGAATAAAAAATAATTAAATGACACCCTCAAGGACATTTCTGTAATTAACCTTGCAAAGTAAATTATCATCTACATTTGATAGGAATAAGAAAATTTTACTGTAATGAGAAAATTTTACTGTAATGATGGGAAGCAATGGCCCGAATATTTCTTCCGTCATAATCTGAGCTTCAAGAGGAGGATCCACTAAAATCGTGGGACCGATAACCCTGCAAGAAGTTAACATTTTGATTGAAACTAAGCTTACATAAAACAGAAGTTAGAAATGATAGGATGAAGAGAACCAACATATTTTCAGAGTCCATTGAACCATCATAGACAATGGAAGCTGCCACACCAGGTTCATCAAGAAGATTGCATATCCTATCATAGTGATTCTTGTTCACAATTCTGCAAATATTTTTCAAGTTTTTTGCACTCTCGCCGTAAAATCTTTTGATACAGCTTGTCAATGATTTAACCTGAAGTAAGATTTGTTGTTAAAATTGAATTTCAGCTCGTTTTTACAAGAAAAGATGTGCAAAAGGTTGACTAGAAGATTTTGACTAATACCAGAAGAGGAACAAGGTCTTTTTGCACGAGCAGATAGTCGATCCCTATGCACGCTTGTCCAGCACACGGTCCCCACTTCCCACCAGCTATTCTCTTCACAGCCACCTAAAAAAGCTTACACAAGCAGACTATGAATAAAATGGCTTTGTGTGTCACAAAGCTCTTAGCAACTTTTTTGTGGCACCACCAACTTACAAAGACAACATAAAGGGTGAAAACTACTTCCATCCAAAACTACTTGTCCTTTTGGAAAATTCCTCACAAATTAAGAAATCTCCTAATGGCTCCCCTTATTTGAGTCTAGGCAACGAATGTTTTCTTAGTACAACTCATAGTAAACTATATAGTTGAAGAAGAGTTAGTAAGGGCAAATTAGAGAAGATGTAAAATAAAGTCTTTAATACTTCCAATGACAAGTATTTTGGGACACATTTCTAGAGCTAAAACTACGTCTATAACTTATTTAAGGATTATCATAAATATTAGTATATTACTACTGAGGTATAATCTAATTACAAAGAATATCATATATTTTGCATAAGTAGAGGATATGACATGGCAGCATGTTTCTACTCAAAAAATTCTAATTCTTGGGGAGACACGTGAAACTTCAATGGGGCATCAGAAATTTCAGAAGACAGGTGTATTTTTCTCTAATTAAGACAAGCCTATGGGACATAATGTAACTATTACAAAGAACAGGGTAATAAATATGCATGGATGTGACACCGGAAACATAGTTTTTCAGCCCATGCACGAAAATGGAAAGACTGATTTGATAATGACGAGTATACAACTATTAACCTGTAAGTCTGAGCCAGAGAAAGAGTCGAGAATGACTGGGCATTTTCCACCCAGTTCAAGAGTCACGGGAGTCAAATGCTTTGCTGCTGCAGACATGACTATACGCCCTACTCGGGGACTCCCTGGAACAGCAAATTAAAAAAGCCTCAATTAATATTTTAAGAAATTAAATCGGTAGTCACTTCCATTTGGAATGGAAATAAGTTGATATTATTATTATTATTATTAAACAGTTAGTCATATATATGACAAGAAACCTGTGAAGAATATTTTATCCCAACGAAGCTCCAGTAGTTGTTCGGCAACAGCAGCTCCACCTTCAATGACTTTAATGGCTTCCGTGTCCAAGTAATGAGGGATAGTACGTGCAAGTAAAGAAGAGCAAGCTGGAGCGAGGTCAGAAGGCTTTAAGACCACAGTGTTTCCAGCAGAAATTGCCCCAATTAAGGGATCAAGTGTGAGACCTGGATGAAGATGATAGGGTTTGCTTCTTAGACATCGGTGGAGCTTCATTTCAAATACAATTATCACACTACTTCCAAAAGAATTTTAAGTTTATACTTCTAAAAAAGAAAAAAAAAATAAACATATAACTCTGCCTTTTGTTTTGTTCTTTCAAGGATAGTTGCAAAAAAGAAAGGCGATGTTTAACTTAATTTAAAAATAAGTAAATGACAATAAATCAAGCTATCTTCCCAAATTATTCATATTGCTTGTGGTTTGTATTTCCTGAACAAACTTCCCCGCCCATAGGGTGCAGAATAATGAAATTTCCGCTAAAGGACATTTTTAACTGTTTGTAAGTTTTCAGAGAACAATGTTTTCTGTAATTAGGTCAATAGGTTAACCTTGAGGATGGCATTTGGAAATATGCCTTTGTTTTAATCAACTGGAGAGACTTGCCATAAATAACTCCTATTGTTTTTAAAGAGGGTACACAGTGCGATCTATTATTAAGCCGCACATGACGGAAACGGCCAGACAAGTAAGGCAACGACAACCAAGAATTAAGGGAACTTACTGATTGGGAAGTTCCAGGATCCAAATATGAGTACAGTACCCAGTGGTTCTGGCAATACTTGTGCTTTTGATGGAAACAGAAGTAGAGGTAGCTGGGCCTGGACAAGTCATTCTTTTCAAAACTATATTGTCTGAATATTGAAATTGTCTGTCTTTTTCTTTATAACAACAACAACAACATACCCAGTATATTCCCAACAGGTTGGGGTCTGGGGGGTCAGTTGTACGCAGACCTTACCTTGTAATTATACAAGGAGGCTGTTTCCGTAGCGACCCAAGGTGCATTGCGCCATTTTTCTTTATAACAACACTTTTCTAAAATTCTTGAGAAAAAAAAAAGATAATAATAATAATAATAATTAATAATAATAATAATAATAATAATAAAAGACAGATTTTTCTCTTTCCTAGCTCCTACTAGTGTGCAACCATTAGATTGTTTCCTACGCATAACAAACTGAAAAATTTGTTTATCTAACATGGATAATATCAAGCAGACTGTTGATTTCCAGTCTTTTTGGTATATAGATCAGGGAAACACTATAATACATGCTCTAAGCTTATTAACTCAACTGTAAAGGTTTGGCAGCAGGATAATTGTCTTAGGGGTAATCATTTGTAATTATTTAAAATCAAGGAGAGAACTTCATCAGAAGACACATCTTCCAGCCGCAACTGGGAAGAACATCCAGCAAGTTACAATAATTGATGGTAAATAATGAAGCTATTCTAGGTGAAGAATTATTCTGTCACATATTGAGGCTCAGGTAGTGAAATACTTAATCTAAAGTTGTAATAGTTGATTGGTATTTTCAATTTCATTTCTGAATTTTGATTGATCATCCCAATTTTATATGTATTGGCCACTCACTAAATAGCTATGCCAAGAAAAAGGAAACTAAACAGAAAATGTGGGCCATCTTTCTAAACAAATACACATGGCAGAAAGAGATAATTTGTCAACTGTGAATCATCAGGATAACTGAATTAGAAATCAACAATGGATAGGAGCTGTGTCATATTCAATGAAGGAAAACTGCAATAACCAATTATACTAGAAATAGATTTTTTTTTTATCTATACTGTCATTATTATTTAATTGTCTCAAGTGTCAATGTATAAGAATCAAAGTCTAAACAAAGTTGTGTACTTCAAGTAACTTTCTTTCAAGAGAGATATATCAAAGCAGTGCAGATTTGTTTTTCTCAACATTATACAGTAACATGCAATAAAAATTAATGCTACATAAAAATGTTGACCACAGGGCTTCTACTCCCATTTGAAATACTTATAATATAAAACACAACTTTGTTTAGACTTTGATGCACACAACACATTTTATATTAGTCGTAGTGGAAAAAATAGTGGGAGCAAATAAAATAAGTGTTCGTCTAACCATCAAACACCCTCTATATCACAGACAAATTTTTAGAATTTAGATGCAGGACCACATTTACTATCTTAAATGTATGTGATAAAAATACTTTACTGAATATTACTTTTTGTTTCCAATATTTTATGCTTTCCCAGACTAAAGACAAATACCAAACTGCACTTAAAGGTCTTCCGAAATATGTGAATATTTAGCAACGTCAACTTTTCACCTAAAATCCACGTGCAATATCCAGAAGGCAAGTATGGAACTCTCATTCTCATCAGCCCCGCCCCCACATAACTAATATCAGTGTCATTATTCTAAGTATTCAATTACCTAAAGATGGATAATATGCCAAAAGATATCATACAGAGGACCCCAGGTAAATTAAAAGGAAACCAATTAAATCAATTCTGTTAAAAATGAAAACAAAAGTGACCTTTTTGACAGCCATCCATGAGCTGATGTGAACCAAAGCATGATCTGCTGATTTCTTCACCACTCCAATCTAAGGTATAAGATTGGGGAGAAAGATATTACTACAAGGTGAGCATCCAAAACAATAAGATTGATAATAACATTAAGTTTGGTGAAAAATGTTAAAAGAGTTGAGAAAGGACAAAAAAAGAACACATCATTGGACAACTGAATAGACAAATTATCAGACTTCATTTTTATTTTCTGCAAAAACGATCTGCAAAAATAGAAACAGAAATCAATCAAATCAAACAGCCATATTAGGAGATTATGCCTGCCATGGGTAATGGCCCAAGGACAGTAATCAAATTTAGCATAACCTCACTTGAAGATCAACCAAAAAAAAAAACCCAAAAATCAGCAAAAAGTACTAGATATCTGGAGAGAGAGAAAGAGAGAGAGGAAAAGCAAACCTCATCACGATAAGCTTCAACAGGATGTTTCCCAAGATCTAGCCTCAGGGCTTCAAAAATCTGCGCTTCATTTTCGGCCAACAATCTCAGAACCGCTCGAAGCTGCGCCTTCCGCCACTCAATTCCCCTCGTTTTCCCATTTCGAAAAGCTCTCCTCAGCCCCTCAAACCCCTCCGCCATATGAGCGCTCACTCGGATTCTCTTCAACTGTTTTTGCGTGAAGATCAAATTGATATACAGAATCGTATCTAAGTTAGCCAAGCAACTCAATAATCGTATCTAAGTTAGCCAAGCAACTCAATAAATGGAGCTCGCGACGCCGTACTATCTACCCAAAATCGAGCAGTCAATAGCCATAGCTACAACAACAATTGCGTTATACACAGTTGGCAAGATCCAGCTAGCATTCATTGACCAATCACTGTAGCTATTGGGATTCAATGAACAAAGCACGTTTGGTGAGCAGAAGAGTAATTTAATGTCGTTTCTATAACAAGAGCGGGGGCTTGTACTAGAACAGAACGACCGTGACCGGTTGAAAAAAACATAACAATAGAAAGTTTACATTTCAACTTCTTAAATATCCTTTCTTAATTACATCAATCGACCCTCTTGCTCAAGAAAATTGTGAGAAATTATGCTAGAAAGGAAATTCCCGGGATGCACTATTAAAGTAGACCTTAAAAAAAGTGTGCGACACGATTGAGGTTCTGAGTGTGGTCACTTGATTCTCTTTCATAAGTTTCTCTTTGACTTTTGAAAAATGATACATAATCAACCTAATGTACAACTAGGTTGATAATAGAAGTGAAAAATATCCCAAAAATTCTATAGTGCTTATATGGGCACCATAAGCTATGCCACAATATAATGTGGCAGATGATGTGACTTTATTAATTAGATTCATCAATTCCAATATTGCATGATGTTTCCATAAAAATAAAACAATATTGTAAAAAAAAAAAAAAAATCTCCAACAGAATATTACGTTCTCATACAATTGGAGGCTTCACGCCCCGCGCCTACTCCACAAGACAGACGACTTGGGCCAAGAAAAACTCTGCTTTCGCGGCTTTCGTTCAGGTCACAAACAACCAGCGGCAGTCTCTACCCACTTCGCTTGCCGACGATCTACTCCGCCTATACCGACCGCCAGGGGAGGTATTGCCATAGCTTCCTCGTAAAAGGACGGATTATTTGATTAAAGATGCCCATATATCAGTATATAGTTTGATATCCTGTGATCATCACCAATTGATATGTCGATCTTTGGGTTCGGGTTGAATTTTACCTGACAGGTTAGTTGGTTTTCATAGGGTAAACGTGTAACCCGAATCTTAAATTTGGGCTTTACCCGATCCATCTCGTGTAATATGAAAAAATAAAATAAAATAATTTCACATTTTATTATAATGTAACAAATAATTTATTAACTAAATTTGACAATAAAAAACTATAAAAAAAATTATATTATTTTTGGAATAAATAATAAAATATAATTATTTATCTTTTATATAGTCTATTTAATAATATAACACTTAAAAATTAAGTATTTAATTTTTTTATTGTACATTTAACGAAAAATGATAATAAATCATAAAAAGTAAAATAAAATTTAACATTAGCCAAAATTATAATAGATAATCTAGTTTTTAAAAATGACACATAACTACTTTTATATTTATAGTAAGTTATAAATATAAATATATATATATATATATATGCATGTATACAGTATATATATAAGATTCAATCGTTGCAAGTAAACGGTAAGATAATCAGGTCGAGTAACAGAGTTTCCTACTATACCCGACCCGGGGTTCGGGTAGCATAATTATACCCGAATCCGACCCGAAAATACAGGTAACCCACGGTAACCCGACCCTACGGAATTTTATCGACATCCCTAATTATTGTCCAAAACAGCAAAACTCACCACTGTACGGTTCAGTATTTCCATTTCTTAAACAAAAACATCAGCCCAAACATCTTCCGAAAAAATCTATACTTTTCACAGCAGGTAAAACTAGAAAAACATTTGCAGAGATCGTGAATCCTGGCAATGTATGGTGGCTTGGGTTAGAATTTGATTCGCCGAGCAGAATTGGAGAGCTGCGACCGCCATTGATGCCACTTCTGTAGTGGGAAAGAGAGAGTGAGTTCTCGTAGAAATTGTCAATTTCTCGTCTGTTAATTGATGGGCAGCTACAGATTTCGCTAAATATCGCATAAATCGTATTGTGTCTTGTTAAAAGAACCTTCGTTTTTCTGCTCATTTGCCAAAAGCCTCCGTTATCACAAAAGAGTCAGCATTAGGAAATCAAAATTTAATGCAATTGTTTGAGTTTTGCATCTGTTTGCTTTAGAGGTGAAGGGAAACAATCAATGGCTGATTAGGGTTTGATAGTGGCTGGTTTCCGTATGGCAACAGTTCCTCCGGTGTCCAATCAGTGGATTCCTGAAGACGACTTCTTGTTGAAGAATGCTGTTGAGGTAATTGTTTAATGAATTTTTGAATTGAAGTCGATCACATCACATCTGCTTTCTTTGTATGTACATCTGATAGGAGGAAGTCTGCATTATGAGTTTTTTATGGCAGCTATAACCATTTTGTTAGAGCTTGAGCCATAAAATTTCAATAAACTACCATATGCATGAACTGCAAACCAATGCAGTATGTATTATTGTTGGAATATCACTTGTGAGTTGTCCCACATTGATTTTATAGGGAATAGGTCTACTATATAAGCCTAGTGGGCTATTCCTCTCATTACCTATTAGTTTTGGAATGGAACCTCACTAAGGTGCACTTAGGTTCACCCTCTTATGGTGCGCTTCATCTGGTGGGATCACACCCTCTTCCCCCGGTTTTAATATGGTATTAGAGCGGGCCTATCCTAGGACCTGCAATGACTCTCTCTACCCGGCCTGCTCTGGGCTTGGGCTTATCTCTCTACCCGATCTGCTCTGAGTTTTGGCTTATCTCTCTACCCGGCCTACTCTGTAGGCTTGGGCTTACGAAGGACTCACAAGTGAGGGGCGTGTTGGAATATTACTTTTGAGGTCCCTCATTGATTCTATAGGGAAAATGAGTCTAGTATATAAGCCTAGCGGGCTACTTCTCCCATCACCAATTGATTTTGAGATGAAACCTCACTAAGGTGCACCTAGGCTCACCCTCTTATGGTGTGCTTCATCTGGTGGTGGGACCGCACCCTCTTCCCTTGGTTCTAATAATTATTTCACTCTTGCGTGGATAAAATTTTCATTCACAACATGTGGTTCTAATAATTATTTCACTCTTGCGTGGATAAAATTTTCATTCACAACATGTGGCATTTTCTTGTGTCAAATACAAATGTTATGAATCACGCAGCCAATCTATATCTATATCTATATAATAAGAATAAACATTTACTAAAAATAGTAGTGAAAATTTTTGGTAGTGTAATGCATACATTTTTTTGGAAACTTTTTAAATATATGCATTAATTACTTCTATATATACTTTTTCAAATAAGATCAAATCAGATATGATCAAAAATATTATTTTCTTAAATAATTTTATTAATATCTATAACGAAATTTTCTTAAATAATTTCTATAATGAAATTATTGTAAAATATATTTTCATTGCAGAGTATGCTAAATAAACTATAAATCCTTATAATGCAAACTAGAAAAATCTTTATTAAAGAAGGAATTGAGTTTTTGACATTTCTTAAATCAAAATTATTTAATTAGTATACAAAATCAAATTAAAAAAAAAAACATGCGTGTATTAAATATTTTTCATTACATAAGAAAAAAAAAAGACGTACAACATCTATACCTTTTATAAATAAAAATGATATTATATGACAACAAAATTTAAAATAAAATAAAAATTAAGTATTATATAGTCAACAAGAATAACTAAAAATGTTATTTTCTCTTATATCAAGGAATAAATGTATATACTAAAATCAAATTTATATTAGTGTAAATGTGTTAGTGAGACAATATATTAATTATTTTATAAGTTAGCCCTAACAAGCTCATATTTAGTATTCTGGCTACAAAAACAACGCTGATTAAAAAAGATGGAAAATAGATTATAAGTTTTTTAAACTTAACGTTGATTAAAAGTGGTGGAAAATAGATATTAACCACATTGATTTTTAGACTTAAACGGATAGAATATGTGAAAATAACTCATTTAATATATTTGTCCCGTGCATCGCACGGGGTACGTACTAGTTTTGTAAGAACCCATGTCGAATTCTAGCAGTCGTCACCGGACTTCATCCTGTTAACTGTTAAATGCCATTTAAGCCTCTAAGAACTTTCCCTATGGTGTTTGTGGTAGATTGTGGCATTGTTTTTATAAATACAATGTTTCACTATCATATTCATTGTTGTTTTTCAAATCCTAAAGGTAGTCTTATAAGTGAACTAAAGTTCAGTGAAAATTTAAGAATGCTAATCCGTTGAATCTGACTGATAAACTTGCTACTGGATGTTAATCTTCCTACTTCTGGTTCACTGATAAAGAATACTCTTTGTTTTTATACCGGACATCCTTCTTATCAGTTCTGCTTACTAATTAACAGTTTTATACATTTTCATTCACAAATTTACAGGCAGGTGCACCATTGGAAGCACTTGCTAAGGGAGCAATACAATTTTCCCGAAGATATACTTTACGAGAACTCCGGGAGAGGTGGCACTCCCTTCTCTATGATCCCGAGATTGCAGCCCAAGCCTCCGCCCATATATTTGAACTCGAGGTCTCTGGCTTAATCCCCGGGACAAAGTCAAACAAACCGGAGAAAGAAATTTCAAAGAAAAGGAAACACGAGAGCATCCGTAGAAAATACTATGCCATGAGGAAAAAATTCTGCAGCGAGTTTTTGAACCACAGTGTTCTCGGTTACTTTGAATACAATCCTCACGAGTTTGGCGAGCATGTTCCTGATTTCCAGGACCAATCGACACGTGATGTTAATGACCAATTACAACTTCAGGAAGAGGATTTAGATATTCTGCTCCATGCCTTTCCAGGTACGATACAGGATGCAAATGGTGCGAACAATGAAATCATGGGTGGCTATGGATTTGATGAAAGAATTGTTTCCTTTGGTGAAATCGCTGAAAACAGAAAAGGTTTGGTCGCTATCGGAGAAGACCAAATAGATGAAAATGATGCCCAGGGTAAAGAAAATAGCTCATTGGCATACATTGGTGAGTTTGCTGACCCAGACTCACTTCTGAACCTCTCGAACGAGGACGAAATACTCTTAGTGGATGTGGATGAAAAACACGTAGAGAAAAAATCTTCTGTGGATAATTCGGATTCAGTTATCCAAGAACTGAATAAAGGCAATCAGGAAAATGATACAGCAAAAGTTCAACCCGAAACCGTGCAATTGCTGGGAGCTACTGTAGATTTCTCGGCTTTGAATATTGACGTGCCTTTGAAGCCAACACTAAAGTGTGATTTGATCGAACTTTGTCATGGTGAGATCTGCTGCACGTTGAACACAGAGGATCCCGAGATTCCATGCAACGATGATATATTCTTGCTTATTCATCCTCCCATGTCCACTGGCTCTCCTCCACCACAACTCAAAACCGCAGTTTCTGTGAATGAATGTGCTCCTGTTTATGAGAAGGATAATGGGCAAGACGTAAACTCGCCGAAGAAAGGCAAAGATTATATGAGTGCTGGTTTGCATTCTCAGGCGGGAGGGATGCATGGCTTGTCAGATTCGCGTTCAGTTCAGACTGTTGGTTGTGCAGCAAAAGATGATGTTCCTGGATTTGTCCACAAGACCGTTGGAAATTTTGGTAAAGGCAAAACGCTGTACACAATTCCAAAACCATGCAGTAGTAGCATGTCCAAGAAAGAAGTTGCTGGAGCTAGTACGAAGGTGGTTATTTAATTTTTATTTTTATTTTATTTTTTGTCGTAAAAGATAAACTGTTGGACGACATCCTAATGACACACAAAAAAACTCTAGCCACATTTCAGAATTACGAATACCTCGGTAAAATATTGCAAGTATTCTCTTGAGATTGCAGTTATGAAGGGTAGTTGAGTTTGCAACAATTTTATTTAGATAGTTGTATATACCTTGAAAATACCCATATCTCTTGAGGGTGCAACTTGTATGGTATAATCAAATGTCAAGTGGAGTTTGCTATTATGAAGGGTAGTTGTGTTCTTTTCTTTTCCCCTCATTTTGATAGGCTTAGTCTGTAGGTCATAGATGGCGTGCTTTTCTAAAGTACGTTATATAAGTATGTGATCTAATTACAGGCTATGTTTTGAATCACTGTAAGCAGGTTGGAGACAGCTCAGCAACAATGATACTATCCATTGAAGCAGGTTCTGTGAGTACCTCACTTCCAGAATCATTGGTCAACAACTCAGTATCAGATCAGGAAGAATCACAGATTGATGATGACGTGCCTTACTTTTCTGATGTGGAAGCTATGGTAAAAATTTTGAATTTTTTTAGTGACATGAAGCTAATCTACGAGAAAGCTGTTATTAATTTGCCTAAACAAACTTATACAGATTCTTGAAATGGACTTATATCCAGATGATCAAGATGCCCGGCAAGGTACTTTGTTTAATACCATATCCAATTGCTAAAATTAATTCTACACGTTCATTGTGCCAATAGTTGTCTCAGTTGTGGTATACTTTCAACAATAAAACTTGGGTCCAAAATTTTACGGCAGCGTTTTTCACCTGTTTCTCTTCATTTGTCTCTTCATTAGCCATTGCTTAAGGGCAGGGCATGATTTTTACTATGATCAACTATCATAGATTTATTATATTCTTACGTATGTGATAATGATAATAGTGGACGTTTCATTTCAACAGGACTTTGCGCGCCTTTGGTAACATTCCAGTGTTTGATAATAATTGGCCTTTTGAATCTTAATTTTTCAGTTCCTAGTTATCAGTACGTTGATACTAAAAGGACAATAATAAGGCTGGAACAAGGTGTTAGTTCTTGCCTGCAAAGGGCAATGACATCACAAGGAGCGCTTGCTATCTTATATGGCCGTTATTTGAGGCATTACATCAAGAAACCTGAGGTACCCTATTTGTACACCCATCTACTAAAAATAAAATTTGGGGTACCGATTCTCAGTAGATCACTGAGTATATGTATGTATGTATGTATGGATGTAAGTATGTATGTATGTATGTGAAGAATGCAGTCCTTCACTACTCCCATGGTTCATAGAGTAATGGCGCATGTCCATTTTTTTAACATCTTTACCTAGCATTCATAGAGTAATGGCGCATGTCCGTTTTTTAACATCTTTACCTAGCATAAGCCATTAAAGTACCAATAAAAAGCGAGATTTATCGTACGTTAGCAGCACTCATATCTATGTGCCTGTGTGTGCACTATTTATTAAAATATATATACTTCTATGCTATTGTTATGATTTTTTTTTTTTATTTTTTTTTTCGTTTTGCAGGTTTTACTTGGCAGATCTACAGATGATTTTGATGTTGATATTGATCTAAGGAAAGAAGGACGAGCTAATAAAATATCAAGGCGGCAGGTAATATTTGGGAAATATGCTACTTTTGTTCTTCGAATTTTGCAGTACTCTTAATGGATGAAGATCAGTCTTAGAGACTTATCATGAGACATGAATGCATTTTCCTAAAATTTCTGGCACTTTTGGGGCATATCGTATAGATTGCATTGCATGACTAGCACCTTAACTATCATTTTTGTTTGTATCTGCTTAGGCGATCATCAAAATGGAGACAGATGGGTCATTCCTTTTAAAGAATCTTGGTAAGGGTTCGGTGTCAGTTGATGGCTTGTCAGTAGCTACTGGAAAATTGCTGAACCTCAGTCCCAGTTGTTTGATCGAGGTATTTCTTTTTCTAGCATCCATAGATTTAAGAGGATGCTTTTCACTTTTACTAACTCGGATACATCTCTTTAGCGACAGTATGAACTCCTTATTCCACATTTTAAAAACTGTATTAGAAATTAGGATTATGACGTCAATTCTTTTGTTGATTGACGAAGAAACTTCCAGAAACTTGTCCTCTCTCTTTTGAGGATTTATCTGTAAGTTCATTACTGACAAAGGAAAGAGCATCTTTTGTGATTAATATATGTTTTGCAAAGTAATATATTGAATGCTTTTGAGTTTAAACTCGAGAATAATTGCTGAAGCTGATCTTGAGTTTTCAACTTAATTGCAGCACAATGTTTCTCTCTTTCAAAATTTAGAATAATTTCCTAAAGCGCTCCAAATATCCTTGAGGTCTTACAAATTCAATTAGGTATGATGTGTAACATTATTTGTATTTTACAAATATCACTTTTTCTTTTTATGTTAAAGCTAAACCTTGAGCATCAATTATCCCTTTGATCACCGTACATTTTTTAAGCTTCTAAAAAGGAGAAAGGCGACCTTGATTTTGCATAATTGAAGTCTCAAGAGAGAATACGTACCATGTATATGGATTTGCAATTAATGCATGTCCTGCTTTGAGTAGCGATAACAAAATGTAGCCAAATTTTTGATATGGTGAGTAAGTTGATAAATCCTCATGCAGTCAGTAGTGGTTGGAGTGAATGAATTATGATCCCGTATATTATTATATGGCTCAATTTCTAGAAAATAATTATTGCATTTTCTTCATTTCTGTAGATAAAGGGAATGAGTTTTGTATTTGAGATCAACCAAGGATACGTGAGGAAGCACTTGGGTAACTTTTGCTTGAAAAATAAAAAGAAAAATGGACAAATCTAAATGGACAAATCTAAATTGATTGAGGATGAACCGTGAGCATCTGGAAGCTGGGGAAAAGGTCTCGTCCTTGTTATTCATTACTGAAGTGTATCCTCGGGTTGAATAACTTTGTTTTATTCTTTTTACTACATACATGTAGATATAGCAGGTTTTGGTCCATGGACCTGATATCTCGTCCAGTTGAGCTACATAACATGTAAGTTCTCCTTTTTTTTGTTCAAGTCCCTTTTCTTGTATATTGTTGTATATTGTTCTTGTTTTGCTATATATTTGGGTTTTATACTTATGTCTCTTGTCAAAATTTATTTTAAAAATGTGCCCATTAGGTGTTGGTGTAAGTTGAAGAAAAAATGGTATCTGCTGGAGGTTTTCATTTTATAATGGGATATTGCTGCCTTCACGGTTTCGAATTTAAAGCATATTTGTTGATTTCATATATTTGTAGAAGGCATAATCATCCAGTTGTTTTTCACTGATTCTCGGCCAAATGATGCAGTTTTCGGAACTCTTATGGAGCTATATATTCTGCAATGAACTGAAAGTATTTCGATCTTTTCTATCAAAGGGAAGTTACCCGGGAAAGAGCTTCCTGAAAGTAGCAATTGTATCAATTTCCCATAACATTTCCCCCAAGAAGGCATAAAATTGGCTCGATTCTATGTGAGCTTCACTGTTGAGGCTCGAGTCACCAAAATGTGCAGGCTGTTGCGTTGGCTTGAGAGATTTATATGCCATTCGCAGTCAAAGGTGAAGGATATTGATTGCTAGATTGTTTTCACTTTAACCGGGGAACAAATAAAGAAGGTGAAAGGTGGAAATATCCTGAAGTGAAATCTATCTATTCATAAATGTTTGGGAATATATATGTGACAATAAATATTTCAAGATTCTTCTTGTCTTCTTTATGAAGGTAAGGTACTTGAGTGAAAATACCCTCAAAGTTAGTTGTGGTGATGGCCATTGTTGGATGTTTGTTGTGGCAATCATTTTGTGAAAACTAAGAACCCTAAGGGCGTGTTTGAATATAAATATAACCGTTCAAAATGAGTTTCTTTAATTAACTAAAGTTAATTTTGAAAAGTGATATGATTAGTTGTCAGTGAAATTTTAAATTTATAATAAAATAATATTTAAAATAATATAATTAAAGATGATTTGATATAAAAGTAGGAGACAGATGATGTGAAATGATGGTTAGTTGGATTTATTTGAGTAGATGAATAGTGAATTAAAGTTGATGTGATTGTAAAAATAATTCGATTGATATTATTAAATTAAATTATATTGATAATATTGAAAATAATGAGATTGAGTTAAAGTTTGAGTAGATTTTGAATATAAATTAAGTTTGGATTGAATAAAAATTTATAAACAAACACACCGTAAGGAAAAGTGTAAGCAACCAATGGCATTTTCACTATTGACTGTTTTTAGACAAAATGGTTGAATTATTTTCTCCCCCCTAAGGGAAAGTGTAAGCAACCAATGACATTTTCACTATGACCATTTTTAGATAAAATGGTTAAATTATTTTTTCCAAAGGGTTTGGTACTTAAATGACATGCTTTAAAAAATGATATAAAAAATATCTACATTTCACATTATATGTTTCGTCATTAAAAAAATGCCATGCTTTAAAAAATGATATAAACAAGATCTACATTTCGCATTATATGTGTTGTTCAAAAAAAATCCAAAGGGTCGATTTGCTCAATAGATTCTCTCACAAAAGATTTTGTGTGCCAATTTTGATATCACTATTTTGAAGAACTACTAATTACAGGTTGTAGGCATAATTTCATCACCTAATACTAATGATTATGATATCAAATTATCAATTTGTATCTCCACTAATTCACCTTCTCTTCTCCTACCAAATTATATGCTTTTAGTTATCTATCTATATCTATCTATATCTATATTTATACTATTATAAAAGGATGAGTGATTTTGTAAAAATAATGATCTGCTTAAAAAACACTTACTCTGACATATTTTTAATGACAAATTAGTAATACATTAATACCCATCTTATTTTATATTTATAATTAACAAATGAACTACCTAAAAAACCCTTACTTTAAATGGCAAATTAATACTACACCAATAATCATCTTATATTTTTAATTAATAACTAATATTTAACTAATTAAATATAGATACATGAACAAAATATTTCAGCTCCCCTAAAAATCAACCTCAACATTCTCATACCATTATTCATCACCAATTTGCTTCTTTCACATATCTGTCGAAGTATTTTCTTTCATATCTCCCAAAAATCAACCCAACAAAGCTATGAAAGGATTAGTTGATGTTTTGAAAAACGTCTTTATTTTAATATAATTTTATTGTAAAATCTTAATCATATATTTTTAATTAATAAATGAACTACCTAAAAAACACTTACTTTGACTTATTTTTAATGGCAAATTAGTGCCCCAAAAATCAGCCTCAATATTCTCATACCATTATTCCTCACGAATTTGCTTCTTTCACATATTTGTCAAACTGTTTTTTTCATATCTCCAAAAAATCAACCCAGACAACAAAACTTTGAAAAGATATATAATTGATGTTTTGAAAAATATTCTTATTTTTAATATTATTTTAATGTAAAATCATAATTACTTTAATTAATAACAAAAACTATCCCACAAATTTGCTTCTTTCACATATTTGTCAAACTTTTTTTTTTCATATCTCAAAAAATTCAACCCACACAACAAAACTTTGAAAAGATATATAATTGATGTTTTGAAAAACATTCTTATTTTTAATATTATTTTAATATAAAATCGTAATTACTTTAATTAATAACTAAAACTACTACATGAAAGTTTTAATGTTTAAGAAAGAATACACAAAAAATTGCTATATTGCAATAATAAATACAACAGTCAGACATTCTACTGAAAATCGCAACGAATAATATTCATTGGTATAGCGAATAAATATACATATTCTAACAAACTAGAAAAGTAGATCAATAATAACTAATATTTAGTTAAATAAATATAGATACACGAACAAAACAATCCAGATCCCCTAAAAATCAGCCTCAATATTTTCATACCATTATTCCTCACGAATTTGCTTCTTTCACATATCTGTCAAACTGTTTTCTTTCAAATCTCCAAAAATCAACCCAGACAACAAAACTTTGAAACGATATATAATTGATGTTTTGAAAAACATCCTTATTTCTAATATAATTTTAATATAAAATCGTAATTACTTTAATTAATAACAAAAACTACTACATGAAAGTTTTAATGTTTAAGAAATAATACACAAAAAATTTCTATATTGTAATAATAAATACAACGGTCAGACATTCCACTGAAAATCGCAATGAATAATATTTATTGGTATAACAAATATATATACATATTCTAACAAACTAGAAAAGTGGATCAATTCATTTAGCCACTTCGTTATTTAAGAAAAATAAAATCTTATATTTAGAAATTGCACCTTATATTTATTGAATTGAATTTTTGTCCCACAAAAAACGTTATTTATGTGTTTGTTTGATTATTTTTTCCAATTTTGGTCACAAGGCCAATAAAATTAACGATATAAAATTATAAAAAAATATAAAATTGTGAAAGAACAATATAAAGTACAAAAATATAAAATTTACTAAATATTATAAAAGATATAATTAACTTGTCATACTTACTAATAAATATGAAAAAAAAAATAATAAATAAAAATGATATAATTAATAAAAATAAATATAAAACTTTTATAATTGTACTTATCGATGCAAACGAACTGAATTGTTCAATGCTTGTTAATTTTTTGTGCTTATTAGTTCTATGTGTAAGTTTTAGGTAATAGACAATAGTTATTTGTGCTTTTATCCATGTAGGTTAGAACTTTTATTTTTTATAAAAAAAAATAATGTTTTTAATTTTAAATAACCTTTTATTTTCTTTTTTTAATATAATATTAAATATCATATTACATATATAAAATAATAATTATTTATATTATTTAATATTTAATATGTAAGAAATAACTCAATTGAGAAATTAATAGGTAATTTTGAGGTAAAATAATGAGTGATTTTAAAAAAATATATGGACCAAAAAGTTCATGTGTTAAATATATTTTTAATAGAAAAATTGTAGGTATTCCACTGAAAATTGCAACGAATATTTCATAGGTGTAGTGTTCATTGAAAAAATTCGTTGTCTATTAGAGATCAAATTAAATTACATTGAAATTTTTGTTGATTTAATGATTACCATTATCATTATTTATTATTGTGTGAATTTTAGTTAGAATTTGTTTTCAGACCATATTTCAACTGTCGAAAAAACTGCCAATGGAATTTTAAAAAATTCAATATAAGTTTATGAAAGCTAATTGCAGTGGAGAATACAAAATAATTTCTTATTGGGGGCACTATTTAGTTGATAGAAAAAGTAAACCATCAAAATAATATAATGCACTACAATTTATAAATTATTCTTTTCATAGTTTGTCATCTTTCTCATCTGTAATACATTTTTAACACATATAAGTTAGAAAATATTAAAAAAAAAACATGATTTTTCTTAATTCAATATAAGAAAATCATTGAAAACAAAATACTTTTTAGAATTTTTTATGAACAAAACTTGAAATCGGTATTATTTGTTCTCATAATGGCCACGAAGTATAGAAATATTATTTTTTAAATTAATCTATAAAAATATTAATTTTTACCAAGAAATTATATCGATATATTACCAGTATCCATCTATCTAATCTGTATTATTATAATAAAACATTTTTTTTCCTTACAAATATGTACGAAATTAATATATAACAAGACATATATAAAATTTCATAAATAATATTAAAAGTGTTGATAATTGATTAAAATAAATATAAAACTTTTAAAACATGTATTTATCAATATAAACGAGTTGAGTTGTAAACATTTGTTAATTTTTTGTGATTATCAATTCTATGTGTAATGGTTAGATGACAGACAATAGTTATTTATACTTTTATCCATTTAGGTTAGAACTTTTCAAATTTAGAAAAAAAAAATAAAAAAACTTGATTGAATAAACAGTATAAAAGTACAATTTTATCAAAAATATATTATTATAAATAAATAATATTAAATAATATTTTATCTTATTTGATTATAGTTGTAGCCAAATAAATAAGATACTTTGATTACAACATAATTATATAAGATGTGTAAACAAATTAAACAATACATATAAATATGCCCTAATTCTTTTAACAAATAAAATATTATCTGTGAATATAATAAGAAACAAATAAAACAATATTAAGGCAATGAGAAAAAAGAAGTCTGATTTTTTTATTTTAGAGAAATATGAATATCAACATCTAGAAACAAAAGTCTTTTATAATTACTACATTTTTTTATTACTGGCGTTTAAATTCTCATAAATATTGACCCTATACTATCAATTTTGATTTTTTAAATAATTAAAAAAATAAAAAAGTTCGTAATACATAATATATATTTTAATAATGATTTTGTGATAATAAATTTCATA